TGGAGGAGGGAGGTGGAGGGGCGGGGGGAGGAGGTCCGGTGGGTCGAAGATGGTGGAGGTGCGAGTGAAAGATGAGAGAAGAAGTTAAAAAGTTGTAATAACGAGAAAGTGTGAATTACGGCGAAAGAGAGGGATGGCCGGAGTGGGTGGAGGGAGGGGGGGCGAGTGGAGGAGGTCCGGTGGGTCAAAAATGGTGGAGGTGCGAGTGAAAGGTGAGTGAGAATGTTGAAAAGTTTAAATGGCGGTTTGAAAAATTTTGAATGCGGATAGAGAAGAAGAAGAAGAAGGAGAAGGAGACGTTTCTTAATTTTTCATTAAAATCACCACTTTTCGACCGCTTATATCTCCAGAACGGCTTGACCGATTTAAAATTTTTTTGTCTCTAATTACTTGTGGTGATGCCGCCTTTCAGGGCATATAACGTTTGATTCAAAATTTTTTATATTTTAGTAGTTATGCACCTCCCAAAAATGGACTTTGGTGGCTCGGGATAAGGGACTTGTAGCGTCTCTCAGTTTTTGAACATGGCCGGAGACGCTACCGCGTCTCCTGATTAAGTTTAAGAACACTTTAAAAACAAAGAATAATAGCGTACCTTGATCATTTGGTTGCTTGAATTAAATTTTATAGAGTTATAAATGTGACAAAGGAAAACTAATGTAAAGTGATGTTAACAGTTTTACTACCGAAAACAGTTTAAATTTGAAAACATCTGGAAGATGACAAGGAAAGAGGTTATCGAGAGGAAGGGTAGTTAAGACAAAAGTGGGGATGAGAATGGAGGGGAAAATATTAAGAAGGGGAAAGGGATTGTATAATATTAGAGTAAGTATCAGGCAACGAATCGGTATCATTCTGCTTATTAAGACCTGTTTTTGTCTTTTATGTGAATCATTTCGGATATCAATCTTTTATTGTATGATGGTTCACTGTCAAGAATTTTTACGTCATTCCAATTAAAATTATTTTTTTATAAATAAGAGTTCTTTCATAAATTATATACGTTTTAAATAAACGTTTATCCGACCTATATAAATAAACGTAGAAACACCCTTCAAATTAATTGCGTTTGTCCATATATTGTTTTTTAACGCATAAAATCAGTTTTGTATTATGCAAACGTAATAAAAACGGATATAATTATCGTATATTAAATGATGCTATAAAAACGGTAAAAATTTAAACGTTTATCTGATATACTAATAATATACTTATACCATTTTTATACCTACTTTACGTATAATGTACGTTTAATATACCATCATGTGTTTATTGGGTTCTCATGCGTAGATTCTTGTATCTCTGTGGAGATTATTGAAGTATTTTGTACGAGTCTATTCTAAAATAAAGATATTTCTGTTGAAAGAAATCATATAATGTGCTATTCGCCCTGGTAAGTATGCGGCAGCGCCAACTACTGAGGAAATGCAAAACTACTGAGATGGGTTAGATTCAAAACTAGTACCATGGAGAGAATGGAAGAAAATAAGTTTTTAATTAGTTTGTTTGATATTGTTAATTACGTAGGAGCAGGTCAGCGATGCTATGTAGAAGGCGAACAAGTCCTGAATGCAAAATATATAATGTTTTGTGGAATTACCCACGAGTCAATGACTAAAACTGAAATTTTAGGATTGTGTTTGCAATCGTCATGTCTTTCGGGATCTCCTCATGAGGTAGTAATCAAGATAAATAAAAGTAATGATGCTGCAAAAAATGAAGTCACCATTAACTGCATTTGTTCATGCAAAGCAGGAAATGGTGGAAAATGCAAGCATTGTGAGTCATTACTCATGCATTTGAATCGGTATGACTACACATATACGTTAAAATTTGACAGGTTTTTTAGTATGTAAATGTTTATGTATTAGATACCTAAACGTGTTTTTTAAAGTTTTTATTAGTGTTCCTATAGCAGAAATAGAAAAGACTAGCTGCACTGATGTCCGTCAAAAATGGGACAAGTTGAAAAAAGATGCGAAGGATATGTATAGCGTTGTACCCATTAAAAACTTTTGCTATGTTCCTAAGCTACAAAAAGTCAAGAATTTAAGTATTTACAGGAGACAGCAGATGATCCGTGTTATTTACAGCTATTATTGAAATGTATTGTTTATTATATTACAAATTTAGGCTATATTCTCATTTTACACCCTTATAAAAAAATTGATTATGAAAAAAATTAATAAACAATACATTTCAATAATAGCTGTAAATAACACGGATCATCTGCTGTCTCCTGTAAATACTTAAATTCTTAACTTTTTAGCTTAGGAACATGGCAAAAGTTTTTAATGGGTACAACGCTATACATATTCTTCGCATCTTTTTTCAACTTGTCCCATTTTTGACGGACATCAGTGCAGCTAGCCTTTTCTATTTCTGCTATAGGAACACTAATAAAAACTTTAAAAAATACGTTTAGGTATCTAATACATAAACATTTACATACTAAAAAAACCTGTCAAATTTTAACGTATATGTGTAGTCATACCGATTCAAATGCATGAGTAATGACTCACAATGCTTGTATTTTCCACCATTTCCTGCTTTGCATGAACAAATGCAGTTAATGGTGACTTCATTTTTTGCAGCATCATCACTTTTATTTATCTTGATTACTACCTCATGAGGAGATCCCGAAAGACATGACGATTGCAAACACAATCCTAAAATTTCAGTTTTAGTCATTGACTCGTGGGTAATTCCACAAAACATTATATGTTTTGCATTCAGGACTTGTTCGCCTTCTACATAGCATCGCTGACCTGCTCCTACGTAATTAACAATATCAAACAAACTAATTAAAAACTTATTTTCTTCCATTCTCTCCATGGTACTAGTTTTGAATCTAACCCGTCTCAGTAGTTTTACATTTCCTCAGTAGTTGGCGCTGCCGCATACTTACCAGGGCGAATAACCTTTTATTAATAAAACAGATAGTATATTTTTCGAGGTGTTTACATTATTGTCCATTTCCTGTAATTTTAATAGCGCATTATTATGACAGAGAACAAAAAACGTATTTTTCTAATAACTAATAACAGCCTCTCACAACTGCGTATGTCTATATTTTTCTTTGCGGTAAAAACGCCACTCCCATATCACGATTACGACAATTAGGTACATCTCGTCCTGTTTCATTCTCTACAATAGTCCTTAGAATTGAATAATATAACGTAACAATTTTCAACACTATATTATAACGTAATGTAATGATACATAATTAATTAATGCAATTATTATTATATTTCAGGTGCTTCTCGACATTCCCCCTGCGCATACATTTGGTATCAGGCATTCACCCTATATTTGTAATTTGAAGGATGCAGTTTATTAATTCATCGATTAGTGATAACTAATAATTTATCAACTAAGACATAATATTTCCATTATTTGACATTATCAATTAACAAATTTTAGAAACAATCAAGTTTTATATATTTTTCTTTTTGCTTCTAAATTCCGTAGAAAAACATTGGTAGAAATAAAAATATATCATGCTTATAATTAGACATAACAATTGTGCTACACAACAAGAACATTTAAATACGTACATTAAAATTACAAATAAATCCAAGATAATACAATATATAGTATAAATATTTCGATGTTATTTAAAAAATCAAATACTTGTTTAGCATTTAATGTCACATTTCAACTAATGTAAAAATGCTTTATGTACAATATAATATAAAGGAAAATGTTAAGTTTTGGCTGTTTCTTTGTCAAAACAATATTTCCGAGATATACAAATTATTAACGTGGTAATAATTATAATATACATATATCATATTAAGAACTTAACAGAGTTGAATATGGTGTTATAACATCGAGTAAACGTTGAAAAATTAAAAATAAATCTAATAAAACAATTAAATACAATACGACGAGCCATTAGGAGTCAGCGCTGAAAATGTATGTACATTGCAAAAAAGATCTTAACATAACAGATACAATAAAATTATCCTGCATATTTTGGCTCAATTTTGAGTCAACTTTATAAAAAAAATTTTTTTTTAGTTACTGTATACGAAGTAAGGTCTAACATGTTAGAATTATGTATCTCAGAATATATAACTTCAAAGTTCTGTTATGTATGCTGTGACATAAAGTAAGAAATATAAAGAAAAAACGATCTAAATCGAGCGGTAATAGGATTTTTTAATCAATAAATTTCTAGTTTACAATATTATTAAGAAACAACATAAAATAAAAATAATATCAAACGTTTTGGAACTCAAGCGATTCATAAAAGATGCTTCTGTTTTCATACATTTCATTACACAATTTCCACATTCACACAAAAACAGAAGAATCAATTTCTACAAACAAATTATATCACACTATATCGCTTAGACCATAAGATTATGCTTTTATCTTTATGACGTTGTAACATTTGTAAGAATCGCCGAAGAAGGACCCGTGTGAATTTCGAAACGGTCGATATTATTTTTATATTTTTTATATATTTTATATATTTTATTTTTATGTTATATTAAATTATTGTAAACTAGAAATTTATTATATAAAAAAATCTTATTACAACTCGATTTAAACCGTTTTTTCTTTATACTTTGCATTGCAAAAAACGAGCGAAATCTAATTAAAATACATAGTTTTAATAATATAATTTCGAGTATAATATAAAATAATATGTTAACATTGTTATGTTTTTAATAAAGATATAATAAAGTGCTGCTTTATATAAATTAACAAGAAGAAAATTAGTCACACATTTCCGTTTCTAAATCTTGAATGTTTCCATCTCTATAATTATTTGAACCAATCTATTCATTATTTCAAATTTACACTTTTCGTTTTTTATAACCTTTTAATATTGATTATATAAATGTCATACAGATATTTACAGGATCTGCAGTATTTAAACTAGTAGATGTATTATATTAGTTGACTTTACAATTATAGGTTGTTTCAATGAATCGGCTAACATCTTAATAGCTTGAGTATAATTATTTCCACACTCTACAATTTCTTTGAGTTTTTTTGTGAGTTTAACTAGAGATGGACAGTTTAGGCGGCTGCTAACTCCTAATGATGTCGAATTTGGTGGACTATAGAAGGAGATGGTCGAGAAATATTTATGAAAAAAAAAATTTTATTAGGAATTATAGATATAATAAAAAAAAGATAGGTCATATAAAGAGCATATAATTAAAGATCACAATTCAAAATAATTTATTAATTCAAAATATAAATTAATGGAACATTTCGACTTAACTTAGTCTTCATCAGCCACAAAAAAAAGTGATATTAGAGCAGGCTCTAACCGAGAAAAACGAAGGAATTATAGATATGCTCTGAGGACTAGTGACTAGAAACAGTCATTGCCTGATAGAACTGTTGACAATTTTGGTTTAGCTAGAAATAATTCGATTGTAATAATTCCAGAGTTATGCGGTAATTAATAACTATAGTGACACAGACAAACTACCTGAGATATACATATATCTATTCTTTGACTTCCACGCCATTTGAATATTATAGTTATCCCTTCTCTTTTCATTTTGACTCCTACCACTAACGTTTCAATCGAGATAAGTTTCATTTGAATCTTGACGATTAAAAACGAACCAGCTAAATATTAATCTGTTCAATGTCCGGATTAAGATGTATGAATTTTTCTATATTTTGTAGAAAACTAGAAGATTATATTATATACAGGGTGTCCCAGTAACTCTGTTACAAGGCAATATCTCTGTTAATGATACGCGAAAATGTCTAAGGAAGAAATTGTTTGGTTCGGAGGGGAACATGTATTGGTCACCTTGTTTCTTTTCTAGGTGTAGGCGCTAAAAAGATATGAAGGTCACCTCCACTTTTTTAAATGGAATTATGTAATTTTTTTTAGATAACGTGATTCCTCTAATTATTTTGCATATAAAAGTATTAAGGTAGAGATACCAAAAAACCAATAGTTTTCGAGATATTTTACACTTTATTTTGATACATATTGACACAAAATGTTAAATAATTCGTTAAAACTGTTGACTTTTTGATTATCGTACCTTAATACTTTTGTGAACAGAATAATGAGATAAATCAAATGGTGTAAAGAAAACACATAGTTGCGTATTTAAAAAATTATCCATTTTGTATACATATTTTTTTTAAAGCTTATATATATATAAGATTGTATTGGATTATCTGAATCACGCAATATAAGTTAGAGATTAGAAGGAAAATTAAGAAATACACATAATCTCGACTTTATAATATAGCTATATTTTTACTTAATCTATACTTTTAGTTGTAAATTAAATATATTTTGGTAGAAAAAAAATTATAACGCTATAAAGTTTTATAAATAATTTATAATTAACCCCTTCCTGCAATTTATTTTATCAACAGAATATTTATATTAATAAGACATGTTCATAGTGAGTAGAAATCGGGACAATCACCTTAATTAAAATAAGTAATAGAAGTTTTGCAACAAAAAGTGTTTTCCAATTGCTCAACATTATGATATTCCATCATCACTACTACTTGTTTCATCTATAATAAATAATTTTAGTCTTTTTCTATCTACTATTTTGTAATTTTTTGCAGCCTAACTAGTTCTGTTTGTCCGAACACCAAACTGCTCTGACAAAAATGTCAGTGCAATATTTCTTGAACTCGTTCGGGTAATTATACAGAATATCCCCTCCACCTCCGATTTCGATAGGGCTCATTCGACGCATTTTTGCACAAAACGAAAGAATCTTGCAGAAATAAGTGTCGCTCTGCCCTACGAACCGAGATATTTAATGTTAAAGTTGATGACTATTCAGGTTAGGAAATCTGTCATACCGACTACATGTAGTACTACGAGTATGCCTTCTTCAGCTGTCTGACTTCGTGCGCACGCGCTTGGTATCGTCTGAGTCCAACAGAATGCACAAAATTTGAAATTAACACTGCAAAACAAATATATTGTTGTCAGACACGAAATTCTACACATTTCCCTGTTCAGAAACATTGAACTTTCCACGCGAAGTAACTTTCCCCCATCTCCCCCTGCACAGGGACGCACGACTTCTACGATTGTACTGTCGGGGCAGACTTCTGTCCATCTTTCCCTCCCCCCCCCCTACTGAGGGACGCACGGTTTCTACGATTGTACTGTCGGGGCAGACCTCTGTCCATCTCTCCCTCCCCCCCTGCTGAGGGGCGCACGCATGGTGGAAGTATACATGGTGTGCTCAGTTCATAAGCGGGGAGCACAGACTTTTGCATAACGCATAAAGCATGTGCATAAGGAATTTCATTGGTCCATTTTCTTATGCATGAGTCAATGGACCAATCAATTTCTTTATGTATATGGTTTATGCATTATGCAAAAGTCTGTGCTCCCCGCTATAGACTTATAAGATAGACGGAGCGTTCATACGAGAGGAGCTGGGCATCGATTGTGTATCTTGAAATGAGGTGAAAATTACAAAAGTGAGCAAATTAACTAGGTGTTGACCAATGAAATTATAAATATTCTAGTGAATTTACTCACTTTTGAAATTTTCACCTCTTTTCAAAATATACAATCGACTCCCTGAAGACTTGATAGAAAGAGAGAGAAATAGTCGCGGAGTAGTTCTCTTCTTTTCTAGTAGTGAATTGATTGGTCGTCGCGGCAGGTCGGGGAGTAGCCGAGAGCAACGAAGATAGATATCCGAGACCGAGAGTATTAAGTTGACTGCAGGGAATGGAAGTAACTCGTTACTTGTAACGAAGTTACAGTTACAAGTTACTTTTTTGGTAACTTTACTGGTAACTGCGTTACTTTCTTTTTTTGGTAACTGTAACGGTAACGAGTTACATTTTTTGGGTAACGGTAACGAAATTTACAGTTACTTTTGTCGTTACTTTGCACACGATTGAACACGGTTCGATTGGATACATGTTATTTATAGCTCTTATCAATAAGACTTGAAAGCCCTTAGACATTCGGCCGTTATGATTCAGTAATTATTTTACACTTCTATCTTCTATGTAATACATAGGACATACAAATATTTCAGTTTGCTGCATATTTTACAGGTTTTAGAATTACAAAAGTGTGTTTAAAAAAAATTAAAAAATAAATTAAGTAATAGTAAAATGAAAAGGGCTATGAACCCAAAAGCGAAACAGTTTAAAAGACGATGACAATAAATGTCGAAACGTCGTTTGTTTTTATCTTGTTTTATCTATGTATTGTTCTAATATATATTTATACATTTAATTACATTGTCATCGTCGTTCTTATCGGAAATAAACTGTTTCATTATTGGCTCGTAACCCTTCTCATTTTACTTTTATTTAATTTATTATTTGAGCCATTCTACATTGTTTTTTTTTTTTTTAAATAAAACTATATATTTGTCAGTATT